CCCCAAAACCCCAAAACCCCAAAACCCCAAAACCCCAAAACCCCAAAACCCCAAAACCCCAAATGACTAAATTTTAATTGAGATTAGAAAAACTGTATATTAGATTTAACCCTGGGTTTGTGAAATTCTGGTTTATAATCCACCAAAGTTCCATCAGTCTTCACATCAAAGTTCTTTATATCAAATTTATTGTAATCATTAAAGGTCCGCTCCTTGACCTTGTTTTTATACTGCTTGTAGATTTTAGACCTTTTGTCTAAAGCTTCGTAGTCAGGCTTCATGTAGATCTTGTTCTCTTCGTTAGGGGTCCTAGAGGGTGAGAGAGGGGGGTTACGGCTGATGGATGGAGTATTTGGAGCTTTTGGAAGAGGTTTCTTCGTTATGAGTGATTTCAGGTAAGAGATTGTCCTCAAGCTCTTTTGAGTCGGTTGGAGGTTCGTGTGGTCTTGAGGGAGGTGCCTCTTCGTTGAAGTTAAAGTCATGCATTCTGCTGTAATTTGCAGCTAGGATTTTCCTTTTAGGCTTCTCTTCCTGTTCAGCATGATGCATTGGGGTATATTTCTTATGATGGACTAATATTGACCTAAATATTACCTTTCTCCTTTGGCTTTGGTCTTTGGTATCTATCCTGGGCTCGGTTGTCAACTGAAGTATTAATATCAGGAATTTTCTGTTGAAGGAACCTCTTGACTCTGTGATCCTTTATCCGCACAGTATCATCCTCGCGTGGAGAGTTTACTTGAGAAAGGTACTTCTTATGCTTTGTTCGCTGATGTACCCTCGTCTCCTGCCGAGGCTCTGATTCAAAGAAGTTATTCTTAGCAGCCATCGAAATTCTATTTTCCTCAATCCTTTGATAATTCTTTTGATTGTGCTTCGGAGGTGAAATTGATACAAAATTATTAGGTGCATAACTTGGTTCTACATGAAATTTAGCTAACTCAATTATTAATGAATTTACCTTGGAATTCATAATCATTGCCAATAATTTCATTTATAGATCCAGGATTTACAGAATTATACTGCAAGTTATTATATCGCTGTCTGCGAGGTTTCTTTTTCGGAAATACAAGTCTGATACTTCCATTTACCATAGTCTGCCCCTCATCCCCATCACTTAGAGAAAGCAATCATACTGCCTATACCTCGGCTTGTAACTATCATCTTCTTGAAAAAGATGCTTGTACCTCTCATAAAACCTTGACATATTCAAATAACCCAATTATTTATTAAAAAGTCGGGGTTTTGGGGTTTTGGGGTTTTGGGGTTTTGGGG